GAAAAGGAATTTTCAACAAGATAATCAACAAATTACCCATCGAATTACATATCCCCGGTTATCAATATTGTGGGCCAGGAACGAAGCTGTCAGAGAGGTTAGCACGCGGAGATCCTGGGATCAATCTTCTCGATAAAGCGTGTAAGGAACACGATATCGCATATTCAAAGAATCGAGAGAATCTTTCTGCAAGACATAACGCTGATAAAACATTAGAAAATAGAGCGTGGACACGTGTATTGTCAAAAGACGCGGGTTTAGGTGAAAAAGCTGCAGCTTGGGCTGTAGCTAATGCTATGAAAGCTAAAACTAGCTTTGGATTTGGATTGAAGAAAAAAGTGGGGGGAAAAACTAGTAAACGTAGGAAAAGTCTTGTGAAAAAGAAGAAATCATGTGGACGGGGTGCTGCAAAAAAGCATGTTGCTCTCAAAACAATCATCAAAGCAGCGAGACAATCGATGCGTCCTGGAGATGCGATCAAATCAGCTCTTCAAGCTGCACGAGATGCTGTTCGAAAAGCTGGAGGAAAGCGCTCCGTAAAATCACCAAGAGTATTACCAGTACCCGGAAAAATTGGTGGAGTGCTGCCATTCTTGATTCCCTTATTTGCTGGGTTAAGCGCCACGGGAGCTTTAGCTGGACNCTTATTCGCTGGGTTAAGTGCCACGGGAGCTTTAGCTGGAGGCGCCGCTGGTATCGCAAAAGCTGTGAACGACGCGAAAGCAGCTAAGCAGTACCACGAGGAGAGTAAACATCATAATCAAACAATGGAAGCAATTTCAATGGGTAAAGGACTGTATTTGAAGCTCTATAAAACAGGATTAGGACTCCATTTGCAACTAAAAAACTCATAAAGCTACCGCACCGAGCCCTCAGTGATGCTGATATCATAAAATACTCCAAACTCATGAAAATTCCATATTTCCGAGGAGTTTACATAAGAAATGGATTACCCATAAATGGATCTCGGGTGAATGAATCAGCTATAGTGAATTTGGATGATAGGGATGGTCCTGGCACTCACTGGGTGGCATATAAGAAACGGAAAAATGAAATCATTTATTTCGATAGTTTTGGAAATTTACAACCACCAAAAGAATTGATGGATTATTTCGGTGTTGGTAGCCTTGTCAAATATAATCATCAGAAGCATCAAGAGTATGACACTATCATATGTGGTCATCTATGTCTGAAATTTCTCAAAGGACAGATATAAATATCGCTCACATTCATTCATTGTGTTAGTTTACTGCTGACAACCATGGGAGAGTCTTTCACATTAACCCTGTCAGGAACCTCCTCTATTTTGGAAGCAAATTATTTTCCTCCCATTGAATTATCTCATAATCATCACTATAGTTTGGCTCTTGTTGAATTATTGACATTCAATTCAATTCCAAACATTACAGAAAAAATAATATACTACGATATGAGATGATATACAGTACGTCTCAAGGTAGTTATGAGATTGAAGACATTCAAAAATATTTGCAAAGGTTCGGCAGAAGAAAGGTGTTTCAATCAACATAAAAGCCAATAATAATACTTTGTGTAGTGAAATCAAAAGTGATCATACAATTGATTTCAAACCACCGATTCGATTGGTAGATTATTAGGATTCGATAACAGAATTTTATCACCTAATAAATCACACGTATCTGATTTGCCAGTTAGGATTCTTAAAGTGAATTCTATGTGTGTGGAGTGTAATATCACTGGAGGTGCGTATATTAATGGGAAGAAAGCTCACATCATTCATGAATTTTTTCCCACTGTGCCTCCAGGATATAAGGTCATTGAGGTGCCGAAGAATCTCATTTACCTTCCCATCGTGGTCCAAGCAATAGATCATCTCCAGCTGAGATTGGTAGATCAGGACGGTGACTTGTTGAACTTCCAAGGAGCAATTAATCACAATAAGACTTCACATTAAACGTACCTAATGGGTATCGTTTTCCAAACGAAGGTTGGGAAGAGTTATAAAAGGGAGTCATCCCCCCAGAGGACTAGCAGTCGTCAAAGACCCATCAAACCGTTAACACGTGAGAGTATTCAATTCCTCAAGAGTTTAAACTTGAGACCTCGAGTGTGAATCCAATCATCAATAATATATTATGGAGGACATCTTGAAGATTCAAAAATCTATCGTATTCGATGAGTCAGTTTCTCACTATGAGATGCATACTCATCAACCCTTCGCCTCATCAAGCTATGGTAATAATGATGTAATTTCAATTACTGTACAACATCAAGATTTATGTTTATTGCCCAGTAAGAGTCATCTGCATATTTATGGTCGATTAACCAAAGATAATGGAACAACGCCAACCGAGAGAACAAGACTCGTGAGTAACGCTATCTGTTATTTGTTTGAGGAAGTGCGATATGAGCTCAATGGAGTGGAGATTAATCGGGTGAAAAATGTGGGTTTAACAAGTCTCATGAAAAATTATGTTTCTCAGAGTCCTAACCAGTGGTTTTTGATGGAGAATGCTGGTTGGTTGAAGAATGATAGTATGGATAGTAATGAGACAATCACTGATAATGCAGGATATTTCGACATCTCTATACCATTAAGTCTTCTACTTGGCTTTGCTGAAGATTATCAGAAGATTGTTGTGAACGCAAAGCATGAACTCATTATTACGAGATCGAAAACAGACATCTGTGCAGTACTTCAGAGGGCTGTCAATCAACAAAACCCTGAGGAGAAATGGAAGATTAACCTTCAAAAGATTGAGTGGTTGATCCCCTATGTTAAAGTGTCGGACGAGCGCAAGGTGAAGCTGCTCAATTTCATCGCAAAAGACACACCCATTACAATGGGCTTTCGTACATGGGAATTGTATGAGTATCCTCTTCTCCCAGCAACCTCGAAGCATGTTTGGGTCGTGAAGACATCATCTCAATTGGAGAAACCAAGATACGTTATTCTTGGATTCCAAACGAATCGTAAAAACATCCAGACAGCCAATGCGAGCCACTTCGATCATTGCAGTATCCGAGATGTGAAGCTTTTCCTCAACTCAGAGAGCTATCCATATGGCAATTTGAATTTGGATATCGCCATCAATCAGTATTCAACGCTATACAACATGTACGTGAACTTTCAAGAGTCTTACTACGGAAAGGAAGCTGAGCCGTTATTGAATAGAGAGAAATTTCTAACCGATGCTCCATTGATTGTAATCGATTGTTCCAAGCAGAATGAGTATTTGAAAACTGGTCCAGTTGATATTCGTCTGGAATTTGAATCTTCTTTTCCTTTCGCACCCAATACATCAGCGTACTATCTCATCCTTCATGATCGAATTGTTGAATACAATCCCATCAGTGGAGGAGTTAAGAAACTAGTGTAAATGTAGGATGTAATGAATAAAACAAGATAATCATGTATATTAAAAAATGAATATATATATTTTTTTATTAAAAAAAAAATTCATGGTCTCATTATTCTACACACACCTTCTTCCCATCAACATCATAATAATAAGAGTAATAATAATAATATTGAAAATGACTTAGAACTATGTGGAACTATGTTTATTCGACGTTTGAAACGCCCATGATCTCGAGCGAACTCTTCCCATGGACCTCGACGAGCAGAACGATACGCATACTCCCAATACAACATCAAATGAACTCGTGGTTGTAATTGAAAACTAATTCTCTTAGTTTTCTTCCCTTGTTGATCCGCAGAGCTATCCCTCACAGGTTCCATCGTTCAGATTAAATCAGCAGGTTGGTGGCCATGAGAAACAAAGAATATATCATACTCCAAACCTAGGAGTTCCTAACCTAGGAGAACCTAGGAGAATGGCGGATTGCAAATGTTCAAAATTTGCTTTGATGGTCTGCAGAGATTGAGATAACTTCTCACAAGGGTAACACTTTGACCCCTCTCCACGTTTGAACTTGGAGCACAGAGCTCGGAAGTTTTTGCCAATTCGAAAGATGAATCCCGTCAATGGTGGAATTGGTTCAGCTGGAGCATGAATCAATAGTTGCTCCACAACCTCATTGTCATTGAGGCAGTATGGTGGGACTGAATTCAACCATTGAATCTCATCGATACTCGCTGCCTCTGATTCATCCTCTGTGTTGGTAATCTTCTCTCTCAGCTCCTCGCAGAATTTCTTCAATTTTCCCAAATTGTTGATACTCTCGATTATGTTGGATAAGTCCTCACCTCGAGTAGAACACTGAGAACAATTGGTTCTCCTCTCAGCATCTCGCTCAGCTTTCAGGACTTCATAATTATTCCACAAACAATGCAAGTCAGTCACGAGATGTCTTGCAAATTTATAAAAACTTTCATTGACATGTTCACGGACGATCACTTCATCTGTACTGCATGCTCCACCACTTTTCTTATTAAAATGATTATGATAGCACATTGCTACTCGTTCGATTACTGAACGTTGTGAGGTTTAACTGGTAGAAGTGTGACTCGAATTGAATGCGGACTGCACCGATGGTGCGCGTTATATAGAGATCCCCCACCTTGATGGTAGCTTATGACTCATCTCAGAACATTTGGGAACCTTAGAGAATATTCGAGATCAATCGAGAGAGAAATAACTGATATCTTCCTCATATTACATGATGATTCATCATAGTATTATATCTCCTGCAAGTTCCAACAGGAATCAGGAGGTACCCCCACCATGCGCAAGTTGATGAGTCATCAAAGATTCACTAATGGTGGTGGTGGTGCCACCTGGTGATAGTTGTGCGAATGAGTATTCAGAACATTCGAAAACATGTTTGAAACATTTTGAAAACTTTTTGAAACATTTTGAAACATTTCGAAAACATTTTGAAACATTTCGAAAACATTTGAAACATTTTTCTAGTATGGGAAACCCCCACCAAGCGCGCGATTCGATGAGTCATCGGCATGACCATTAGTCTGAGTGACTCATCGATGACGTCATCTTCGAGAACATTCGATAACCATGCTTCGGCGATGACGTCATCCTCGAGAACATTCGATGACCATGCTGCCACCTAGGGGCGGGCGCTGGAAGCTTTATCCAGAACCTGCCCTGTTTAACTACTGTCACTGTCCAATCGTTTGGTAGGTATGAGTCCTCGAAATGATTGTTCTGTCAAACAGATCCCTGCAAATTGCTTGGTCAGTGTCGGAAAATTGGAGGGATATTCCTTCATATCTTTGTTTAAAAATCTTTCTCTCATGTCGCCATCCAGATTCAACCATTTTTCTTCACTAATATCGTTGATATTGACATTATAAAATTGAGTTTCATTAAAATCTGTTTCCATAGAATCATCCGCGTTCGACCAAAACTGTACTTCTCTCTGTAATTGCTCATATTCCATTCCTGCGTCAAATATTCCATCAGATTTCAATGAATCTTCTGATTTATAATGCCAGTCATTCATCTGTTCCATCCTTTCGATACCGTCATTTTTCTCAGGTTCCATTGTTGCCTCTTCATTTTTGTCAACTAAATGGGATGGGGATTTTTTCATAAATTTGCTCTTTGTGAAATGTATATTTTCTTTCTTTTCCCGGCCATACGTTCCGTCACTCCAACCTTCGGTCGCCAGATCTGGATCATATTCGCGCGAACGTTTTTGATGATTTTTTGCTGTTGATTTCCGCTCCTCTTTTTCATTATCCATAGATTTATTTTTTCGGTTATCGGCTTTCTGCGCTCGCCCTCTTTTCTGCCTCTCCGTGCAATGGGAATAATTCCTGTGATCCCCCCAATCATCCACTCTTTTTTCTAACATTCTGAGGAACTCACCAACTTGCCATTTCCCTTTTCTATTTTTAACGAAATGTTTTATAAATTTAAAATAATTTTCTACCGATGCATTGCTATCCCTTGTTATATCAAATTGTTTAATAAAAAATGAGCACCATAGACCTGCATATGGGAGGATGTGATTGATCAGATAATTGAAAAATTTAATAGAATAAAAAGGATTGGCTTCTAATTCTTCTGTTGGTATATCGCGGATACAATCATTAGCATTATTGTTAATTTCCTCATAAATTTTAAAAAAGAATTTATAAAACGGTGAATCTTTACGGGCTCTACTGTCGCAGATAGAGTCATCTTCGGTGTCATCTTTAAATTTTTCATATTGGTCATCTTTTGTTGGTTTGTTCATCTTTTTATTATTTTTCTGAGAGATATCTTCGCTATCGGTAGCATCCCCTGCATTACAGTCACTTCCGCCATCAAGCTCATTATCATCACTCTTTTCTGAATATTTACATTTTCCCTCCGTAGTAACAAACTTCCTGTAATATCTTTCGTATTGCGGTATTTTATATTTTAGTCCGAATATGGCGATAAAAGATTTAAAATGCTCTGCAGCATCTTCCAACGTTTGAGCATGGATCAACTCACTAACAATCCGTGGAACCACTCTCCTTTGCTCGTATGATGGGCAATATTTTTTCGCCTTCCTTATTATTGTTCTTAAGGTGTGGGTAGAACATACGTGGAATATTGTTAGATCCTCAACCGTCTCGCCTGCTTCTAATTTGTGATAAATCTTCCTCAAATAAGTATTTACATCCATTTGATGAAACGCAAGTATGAGTGCTGTTAAGCCTGCAACACTGAAGTCTGCTTCAACCTTAGAAAATATTATCTTCCGCTTCGTGTATAATTTCAAATCACGTATATATGAAAGGAGGGGACCGGCCTGATCGGGAATTTCATGGCTGTCTGATAAAAAATGTAATAAAGGTATTGGACCATATTCTTTGCTGCCAGTTAATATTAATGCGTAATAGAGAATAATTTTTTGACTTGCATCTAACTGTTGTACGACTGAGCCAGTGGCATCAAAATATGCGAAAATGGGTTAGTCCAAGGAAAGTAAATAGTTTATTTGTTTCTCGGTATACATAATTACTGAAAATTTTCATTGAATGAATCCTGAAATTTTCTCACCTTTCCACTTCTGGTCTTGCTCCCATTTTTTCATCATTTCATAAATGTCTATTAACGGATGAGGATCTAGTCTCTCTTTTAATTGACTTTCGCTGGCAATTTTAAAAATAACGTGTCTGTCCGGTGCTCCATCTCTATTCCCGGCTTCTTTACTTCGAATATGCAATTTTTTAAAAAGTTTCCCCCGCAAACTACACGGTGGATCCTGTTTGCATGCATCGGCAATTTTTTTCCTATTATCTCCCTTAATAAAACGTCGGTAAACCTCGCCTCTTTTATGGTGAATTTTTTTAATTTGCCAAACCTGAACTTTTGTATTTTTGAAGGGATTTTCGATTACATCAGGGATTACGCACCGGAATTTCGTACACTGGGTATTCAAACATTTCATCTCCGTCCAAAAATGATAAACTGCTTTTTTTGCATCCTTTGGATATCCGCCATAATGGCACACTTTGAAGGTGCAGCCTTTGTATATATCCCGTCTCCTCATGTAGGATACAAAAGCGTCTGTCCACCCTTTTTTAAAAAAACTTTCTTCTCCTCAATTACACTTCCTTCTCTATCTGTTTTCTCAATTATTTCCAAGGACCAGTACTTTTTCCAGAATTTTGCCGGCAAAATAAAGCTTTTATTGCGAATTCGAAACGGTGATGTTTTTTGAAGCTTCCTCATGATTTTTTTTTCCTACAAAGTTTAGCGTTCTTTATAATTTTGGGAGACGAATCGCGTGATGAGAATTGTGAACTACTCCTTCTCAAGGGAGTCGAAAGAGGACTTATATCATCATGCTCGACCGCAGAAATCTCACTAACTCTTTCAAGCTCGCTGGTATCGCGAACATCACTGGCAACATCTTCGAGATTCGTCGTAATATGGACCGAGGCAGAACTTTGTGATCGCGATGGAGTGTTGACTTCCCCGGGGTTCCCCATATTGAGTGGTTCTTCAGACCCTTCTTTATTTGACTTATCATTGTCAAGAATGAATGAAGCTGGACATGAGAACTGATGCAAGGTAGTGTTGCCAGCTTCAGGCCGTGGAGACTTAACTTCTTCATTCAATATATATTCCGGACTATGACAATTTGTAGCGGTGTTCTCAAAAGTATTAGAGCGATTGTTATCCGTTTGTAAGGTAGGGATATCTTTACTCTTCGATGAGTTTTCAGGGTGAAACTGATAGGCATTGGTCGACTCCGAACACTGGGGGGAATTACTCTCCGTATATAAATTCTCTTCAGTGGGACATTCAGTAGGACTGTCGTCATTACATGAGTTTTCAGAAATTTCTCTTGACTCCGTTCTCTTGACTGTTGGCTCAGTATTTTCATATGGAGAGTTTTTCTCCCGGTTAGTACCACTTTCAGGTGTTTCTCTTTCCCGCGATCTCGTTGTACAATCATTCGGATGTTCTCCAATCTTAGTTTCCTGTGTAAAATGCTCATCTCTTACTTTTCTCCGTGTATGCTCTCTGTCAGGTCTGATGTACTTTTCCCGATAAATATCTTGACAACGCTTTGTGTGTTTCTGAATGGTCCTTTTGTCACTGATGTTGGGAAACAATTTTTGGCATACTCTTCGCCAAATACTCTCATTTGATGATAAATCCTTGTATTGCACTAAATTTTTGAATTCCTCAATATTAATATGGGGGCAAACCTGTACAAGGGCTCGTTCAACCTCTTCAATTCTAATTTTAGCTAGTTTCCATGCACATCGAGATAGCCATACGCAATTAAATAAAAAAACTATAACAAACAATAAGTGATGGACATTCATCTTAAAATTAAATAATAAAGAATGCACGCAAACTATATACACCCTAAACTCTAACTAACAAAACAAATTGAGCAACAGAAGACATCAATATTGGATATATGTAACAATACGAAATAACGATGAATCGCGTAGAGACTCAGGCTGTAATGTTATTTTTAAATCCTCGTTAAAAGATCCATCAGTCAAATTATTGCAGAATTATTGGGAGTTCACTTGTATCCATTTATGTTCTTTGGTTTGCCTGGGGATATTGTAAAAAATAAGGAACAAAATAAAGAACGATGAGGGATAATTGTAAAATATTTGAAAATCTTTAGAATAATACTCACAAAATCCCAAAATGCCGCGTAAATGATTTGTTAGAACTAAGCACCCTAAATTTATTCAATTAGGTGGAGGATTCTGCAAGGAATTCAGCCTTATATCAAAAGGTCATTAGATACTATTTATTTCCAGAGCAAAAACCCTTTCTCGAAATTTTTGTTTTTGCAGGTAATTACATTGTTGTTAATTGTAAAGTAAATTAATGGGGTAGTCCGGTGCTAACTTTATTGTATTCACTTACATTTAATATTACTATTTCTGTTTAAAAAAATTTCTTCTCGTATACACTTTCGGGTGTTTACGATTGGTTCCTTTCCTACCCCCAACCCCCTGTACCACATTTGCCAAAGGACAAGGGGAAACCTCATCTTTGAGGGAAAAACTTGCCCAGGTGCTGTCGTCTCTTACGAGACTCCCGCTGGACAATCAACCGTGAGATTTAGAATGTCACAAATTTTGTCCCCCCCCCCCC